ATTTGGTCAATTTTACAATTTGTGATCTCGATGCCTAGAAGTGTCAGCAATACGCTGCTTTTTAGGGGTTTCGAAGCAGGGAGTCTATTTCTGGAGTTATCTTTGTTGGATATGGGTCAATGTTCAAGTATTTAAAATGAAGGTCAACGTCCAAATCATACAACTTTATGTAAATTCACTGCTCACAGATAGTAGATAGGCATTATTTCAACGAGAAAATTAGCAAACAGCTTAAACAGTACAACAATATATTTGTCACAATCCTGCTATGACTCCTCCTCCTCATTACTCCTCAATCGCGCATCATGCAATATCATTTGTCATTGCGTCATCTACACCTAGCTCTTACTCCAATTGTCTTCGTGTCCATCGATTTTTGTGAATGACTACAACAGCGAACTGCCCCTCTATCACACTTGCCAAATAGTCTGTGCATGAAAAGCATGCATCGGTTGTCAGCTGCAACTTCCCCGCTGATCCTGCCCTCTGGCTCGGCAGCTGGCAGCTCCCTACATCCAGGAGGCTGGGAGTAACTGGCGCGTTGAGATGGTCGGTGTGATGGTGAGCCTTTGATACTCCAACCAAAGTTCGTAATATGTAGTAGCCCTTTCAGGTGGTACACGTGTTTTGCTGCCTTCCACAGTACATCTTTAAGGCTGAGTTCGGACACATGCAGCTGCAGGCTTGACGTCATCGGTGGCCGTTTTTTCCAGTTGTGGCGGCTTCTTATGGCTGCGGTAGAGCGAGTACGTGCATCATCATTGGTCGTACAAACTCTGTCCAAGAATGAGGAATAATAACTGTCTGTCTGTCGCTTTTTGAGTGAGCATGGGCTCGCGCCAAGCTCTGGACCAACACTTGATCCATACCTGGTTATCATCTCCAGGAGCTTGAGTGCTGACTGTTTTCTTTTCGAAGGGTACGACACGTATCGCAGCCTGACAGCGCCATGAGCATCCGAGAAGCGGCTGCACTTTCGCCTAACCGCTACACAGTTGTTGAATATCCAGGACGATCAACATTCCACTATTCCATTGAATCTAGGCAAATGACCCGCATCCTTGATGTCAGTACACCAAGGGAGGACGAAGACGTCTGTGTATCAACTGAGAATCCGGATTGTTCAGCTGATGTTGTGGAAGAAGTAGCCGCATAGGATGTTGTGAGGCGCAGGACTCTTGTTCGTGCATTGTGAAAATAGCTTTGTCGCATGGAAGGGGTGTGTTTGGAAGTCATCGTGCTCATGCTCCTTGCGCTAGAGCTTCTTGTCATATCTGTTGAACCAGGCTCTTTCTTTGAGGCCAGAGTAGTGGGCCAGTCGAGCACCAAAAGCTTTGCAAGCAGAATCTCCTGCGTCTCAGCGACTGGCCACACAACGTGATAGCAGGCACGCGACGCGTCAGCCACCAGCACGTCGCAGCAGATGATGTTCTTGACAGAAACACCGAGAGCAACTTGACGAGCACGCCTTGTTGCCCATTCGCTCAAACATCCATAGCACCATCAATCAACAGAGTTGGGACTGGACCTTCAGCTTCAACTGGGAAGTGTGGCTAGATCCAACCTCCGGCTGCGCCCGCCAGCCCAAAACAGCCGACTAAACATGTCTCGAATGTCGTAGATGCCTTCGCTTGAATGACTGCTATTGAGTGCCTCATTGATGGCTGACCATTTTCTTTATGGTTTAAATGAGTTCAGTCTGCTTCGTGAACGGAGAACTGCTTGCTTTGCTCACTTCCCGTAGTCAGTGCACCTAAACATTCACTGTGTCGGGCGCCACTTGGCCATGCAGATGTTATAAGACCTGATGCGCTCGTTGAGGGGTGAGTTGACTTCTCCAGCTCTGCTCGATCTCCTCCGATCGACCTCATCCAGTCTTCCTTCTTCCCTCTCCTTTCTCCCTTGTGCTTGTTTCTCTCCTCTACATCCACTCGACCATCGTGGCTTCTCCTCATCCGCTTCACTGTCATACATATCTTCCATGGTCGATGTCGAGTGGGCACATCCACACTGAAACTTGGTGACCTTGCTCTACTATTTCAGGCTCACTTGTCTTTTGTCGATTTGTGCTTCGTTGTATTTATGTTGTTCGCCCTTTTCTATTTATCGTCTTTGCCATTGTCACGCTTCTTCCTTGCTTGCTTGTAATTATATTTGTTTCGTTGTTCCCGATCTGTGATCTGCTGTGCACGGCGGTCTCCGCTTCATCAGATAATCTGCGACAGACATGTTGGCGCGCTGCTCAGTTAGTTTCTCTCGGGCCACGCTGGGGAGGTTGTCGTCTATCTGTCGCACTATACCAGCTCGATGTTAGCCGGCAAATTTGTGTGGACTGCGCGAGAAATTTACGGGCAGCATTGCCTGAAACATGCTGCTGAGGAGAAAGTTTCACCATTCCCGGCCTCCCACGCAAGGAACATGAGGCGCCACATGTCGCTGATGATGATCATGTTCTTACCTCTATTTAATTGTCTTTCGTGCGGTATTTTTTTCTGGCTTG